GAAAAGCGGTTATCGTCGAAGGAATGAGCGTTACATCGAGGCCTGTACTCTGGAGCGGGATCGATTTGGAGGTGGAGGGTCCGTCATAGTCTGGGGCAGTGTGTCACAGCATCATCGGACTGAGCTTGTTGTCTGCAGCTCAGTGTGGTCCTCTGTAGCTCAATTGGTAGAGCATGGCGCTTGTAACGCCAGGGTAGTGGGTTCGATCCCCGGGACCACCCATACGTAAAAATGTATGCACACATGACTGAAAGTCGCTTTGGATAAAAGCGTCTGCTAAGTGGCTTATTATCATTATATTATTGTCATTGCAGGCAATCTCAACGCTGTGTGTTACAGGGAAGACATCCTCCTCCCTCATGTGGTACCCTTCCTGCAGGCTCATCCTGAAATGACCCTCCAGCATGACAATGCCACAATCCATACTGCTCATTCTGTGCGTGATTTCCTGCAAGACAGGAATGTCAGTGTTCTGCCATTGCCAGCGAAGAGCCCGGATCTCAATCCCATTGAGCACGTCTGGGACCTGTTGGATCGGAGGGTGAGGGCTAGGGCCATTCCCCCCAGAAATGTCCGGGAACTTGCAGGTGCCTTGGTTGAAGAGTGGGGTAACATCTCATGGCAAGAACTGGCAAATCTGGTGCAGTCCATGAGGTGGAGATGCACTGCAGTACTTAATGCAGCTGGTGGCCACACCAGATACTGACTGTTACTTGATTTTGACCCCCCCTTTGTTCAGGGACACATTTGTCAATTTCTGTTAGTCACATGTCTGTGGAACTTGTTCAGTTTATGTCTCAGTTGTTGAATCTTGTTATGTTCATACACATATTTACACATGTTAAGTTTGCTGAAAATAAACGCAGTTGACAGTGAGAGGACGTTTCTTTTTTTGCTGAGTTTATTATTGATCGATTGACTATGACTTTTCAGATCACCCAGTAGTGCTATCTGTAGGGTTAGCTCCAGGTAAATATTGCAATCCTTTAGCCATTCCTGGACCTGTGAGCAAAAACAAGCTACATATGGACATTACCAAAACAAATGATCTAATGATTCTGTCTCTTCACAGCAAAATCTGCAGAGCTGGGAAGGTTGTATCCCCGATATAAAGAACATTCTATTGGTTGCAAGAATTTTGTATAATAATTTAAATAGAAAAATTATTTTGAATCCGGCATCATTTTGCGTATCAGTTCATCAACCATGTGCCATGAAACCTGTATGTCAAAAATCTCTTCCCAAATATTTAGTAATCTATATGGCACGGCTGTCAATTTTTGGGTCCTTAAATGAAACTGGTACACTTTTTTATTCATCACCATTTTCTTTAACCAATTACGGTCTTTAATGCAAGGCCGACAGACAAGTTCCTTACTTTTTCCCCCTTCCCCTTCTTCTTCCATTTTTGCGGTAAGGCTGCAATTAGTTGGTTGTAGTTTTTGGTAGAGCAGACATTTCCATATGTTTTTGTTGGCTGCATGTGCGACTTAACTCCACCAGTGCTACCTATGATATTATTTAGGAAGAAATACCTTTTTTTTTAAATAAAAAAATATATATATTTTTTTTATCAATTAGTATATTTCAGTTTAACCACAATATTTGTTGCATTATTTGTTCTTTCGTTTCTGTTGGATGAAATTGAAATTGCAACCAACTTTCTATGGCTTGTTTTAGAAATAGCGATATTTGAGAGATTATTTCCTTTTCTAATAACTGAAAGTGAGAGGTTGTAATCTAAGGGAAAAAGGCATTTCTTGAACATAGGGTGAGACATTCTTGCTAATTTGCTAGAGAACCTGTTTGGATTTAAGTTTAACTTTTGTATGACTGAAGCCTTTAGTGAGAGGTCTAATGCTTTAATATTTAATCATTTCTGCCCTCCGAATTAATATGCATTAAATAAATAGACCAGTTTAATTTTGTCTGGCTTGCCGTTCCAAATAAAAATGATTTTTCTTTCTCATATAATTTGAAAAATTGTTCGCTAGGTAGGTGTAGGCAAGACCATAAGCAAATAGGTAAACTGGGATATTACTAAAGAGTTAATCAGGGTGATTTTTCCATAAATAGTCAGGTATTTACCATTCCATGGTAGCAAGATCTTATATATTTTTGCTTGGTGTCCTTTAGTAGTGGTTTCTTTCCAGCAATTCGACCATGAAGGTCTGATTCACACAATCCCCTCTGAACAATTGATGTTGAAATGTGTCTGTGACTTGAACTGTGTGAAGCATTTATTTGGGTTGCATATTCTGAGGCTAGTAACTCTAATGAACTTATCCTCTGCAGCAGAGGTAACTGTGGTTCTTCCTTTCCTGTGGCGGTCCTCATGAGAGCCAGTTTCATCATAGCGCTTGATGTTTTTGCGACTGCACTTGAAGAAACTTTCAAAGTTCTTGACATTTTCCGTATTGACTGACGTTCATGTCTTAAAGTAATGATGGACTGCTTATTTGAGCTGTTCTTGCCATAATATGGACTTGGTCTTTTACCAAAAAGGGTTATCTTCGGTATACCCCCCCCCCCCCCCCCCCCCCTACCTTGTCACAACACAACTGATTGGCTCAAACGCATTAAGAAGGAAAGAAATTCCACAACTTAACTTTTAACAAGGCACACCTGTTAATTGATATTCATTTCAGGTGACTACCTCATGAAGCTGGTTGAGAGAATGCCAAGAGTGTGCAAAGCTGTCATCAAGGCAAAGGGTGGCTATTTGAAGAATCTCAAATATAAAATATATTTTTATTTGTTTAAGACTTTATTGGTTACTACATGATTCCATATGTGTTATTTCATAGTTTTGAAGTCTTCACTATTATTCTACAATGTAGAAAAAAGTTAAAATAAAGAAAAAACCCTGAATGAGTAGGTGTGTCCAAATCTTTGACTGATAGTGTATTTTCAAAGAAGCGTGGATCATCATTATTTGGTCTGTAAAGGTTGATGAGCCATATCTGTTTATTGTCCAATAACATATTTAAAATCATCCATCTACCTTGCAGATCTGTTTGGACAATTTGCACATTCAGATCAAAATGACTGTTAATTAATATCATCAACCCTTTTGAGTTTCTTTGCCCATTCGAGTAGTATACAGTGAGTGAAAAAAGTATTTGATCCCCTGCTGATTTTGTACGTTTGCCCACTGACAAAGACATGATCAGTCTATAATTTTAATGGTAGGTTTATTTGAACAGTGAGAGACAGAATAACAACAACAAAAATCCAGAATGTCAAAAATGTTATAAATTGATTTGCATTTTAATGAGGGAAATAAGTATTTGACCCCTCTGCAAAACATGACTTAGTACTTGGTGGCAAAACCCTTGTTCATGGCCCCGTCCATCGTCCCTTTGGTGCGGTGAAGATGTCCTGTCCCCTTAGCAGAAAAACACCCCCAAAGCATAATGTTTCCACCTCCATGTTTGACGGTGGGGATGGTGTTCTTGGGGTCATAGGCAGTATTCCTCCTCCTCCAAACACGGCGAGTTGAGTTGATGCCAAAGAGCTCGATTTTGGTCTCATCTGACCACAACACTTTCACCCAGTTCTCCTCTGAATCATTCAGATGTTCATTGGCAAATTTCAGACGGGCCTGTATATGTGCTTTGTTGAGCAGGGGGACCTTGTGGGCGCTGCAGGATTTCAGTCCTTCACGGCGTAGTGTGTTACCAATTGTTTTCTTGGTGACTATGGTCCCAGCTGCCTTGAGATCATTGACAAGATCCTCCCGTGTAGTTCTGGGCTGATTCCTCACCGTTCTCATGATCATTGCAACTCTACGAGGTGAGATCTTGCATGGAGCTCCAGGCTGAGGGAGATTGACAGTTATTTTGTGTTTCTTCCATTTGCGAATAATCGCACCAACTGTTGTCACCTTCTTACCAAGCTGCTTGGCGATGGTCTTGTAGCCCATTCCAGCCTTGTGTAGGTCCACAATCTTGTCACTGACATCCTTGGAGAGCTCTTTGGTCTTGGCCATGGTGGAGAGTTCGGAATCAGATTGATTGTTTGCTTCTGTGGACAGGTGTCTTTTATACAGGTAACAAGCTGAGATTAGGAGCAAAGAGGAGTGGGACAAAATCCCTCCTGAGATGTGTGCAAACCTGGTGGCCAACTAAAAGAAACGTCTGACCTCTGTGATTGCCACCAAGTACTAAGTCATGTTTTGCAGAGGGGTCAAATACTTATTTCCCTCATTAAAATGCAAATCAATTCATAACATTTTTGACATGCGTTTTTCTGGATTTTTGTTGTTGTTATTCTGTCTCTCACTGTTCAAATAAACCTACCATAAAAATTATAGACTTATCATGTCTTTGTCAGTGGGCAAACGTACAAAATCAGCAGGGGATCAAATACTTTTTTCCCACACTGTACTTCTCGCATTCCTCTGGGAATGACAGTGTTTCGGACTGAGGACGTTGAAAATATTTTTATGAAATGATGTGGGTGTAATAAGACTATGGTCTCTTATTATAATAGTCTTTGTGACTAACGAAAAATAGTTTTATTTTTACGCTTTGTTATACATGAAAGCCAAATTACACACTTTTATACATGTCAGGTAAAATTGTCATCCTTCATGAATAATTTCAAGTGCAATTTTGAAATTGGATAGGCTATAACTGAAATGTATTGAAAACACAGGCAAAATTGAGTATGCTTACACCATGATAAAAAGTAATTAGGTTAATGTGAAGTGTGCCAGGTGTGCTGAATTCTCCTGAACATAACCAGTGAATGATGATACCCAATATAAGCTAAACCATTATGTACATGTGATGTAAATAGATTAAAATAGAAATACCAAAATACAGAAGACAGGAGCATGAGATCGCCATTGTTTGACAGACTCAACTTATTGAAAACACAGGCAGCATTGAGTATTGAGTATTCTTACATCATGATAAAAAGTACCTAGGTTACTCTTGGGCTCATAGAAGGCATTTTTATCCACAATGTTAACAAACACTCAGAGCAGACACATTTGGATTGGTAGCGTGAAACTGCCTCAGTGCCATGCTGTTGGCGTAGATCATGTCCGAGTTCTCATACAGGGCCTCTTGCATCATCTTCTCTTTGGGCTGCAGAGAATCCATGATGCATTGGTGCAGGAAAATATACTGCGACTGAAAGAGTGTAAATGGCAAGGATAAGCCACAAATTTAGCCTCATGAGTCATATATTAATTTTTAATCAAACCTTTAGTCAATCAAAAGATATTGCCTATGTTTTAGGGTAGTATCTGGTGTTGATCAGGTGATCATCTGTATTAGGCTAACTCAGGCCTTACCTCTGTCTGAATCATGAGCGGTCGACTCAGCCTCATCTTGTGCAAAAAGGCAGCGATGCCGACTGCCCTCTCCCTCTCCAGCTGTTGTAGTATCACGTCCAGAGCAATGATGGTGCCTGTCCTCCCCACGCCAGCACTGAGGGACAGAGTAATATACATTGCATTCGGAAAGTATTCAGACCCTTTCCCTTTTTCCACATTTTGTTATGTTACAGCCTTATTCAAAAATGTATTAAAACAGAAAAATAAATACCCCATAATGACTAAGCGAAAATAGGTTTTTTGATGTTTTTGCAAATGTATTAAAAATAAAAAACTGAAATACCTTATTTACATAAGAATTCAGACCCTTTGCTATAAAACTCGAAATTGAGCTGAGGTGCAACCTGTTTCCATTGATCATCTTCGAGATGTTTCTACAACTTGATTAGAGTCCACCTGTGGTAAACTCAATTGATTGTACATGATTTGGAAAGGGACACACCTGTCTATATTAGGTCCCACAGTTGACAGTGCATGTCAGAGCAAGAACCAAGCCATGAGGTCGAAGGAATTGTCCATAGAGCGCCGAGATAGGATTGTGTCGAGGCACAGATCTGGGGAAGGGTACCAAAACATTTCAGCAGCATTGAAGGTCCCCAAGAACACAGTGCCCTCCATCATTCTTAAATGGAAGAAGTTTGGAACCACCAAGACTCTTCCTAGAGCTGGCCGCTCGGCTAAACTGAGCAATCGGGGGAGAAGGGCCTTGGTCAGGGAGTTGACCAAGAACCAGATGGTCAATCTGACAGAGCTCCAGAGTTCCTATGTTTAGATGGGAGAACCTTCCAGAAGGACAACCATCTCTGCAGCACTCCACCAATCAGGCTTTTATGGTGGAGTGGCCATACGGAAGCCACTCCTCAGTAAAAGGCACATGACAGCCCGCTTGGAGTTAGCCAAAAGGCACCCAAGGAACTCAGACCATGAGAAACAAGATTCTCTGGTCTGATAAAAGCAAGATTGAACTCTTTGGCCTGAATGCCAAGCGTCACTTCTGGAGGAAACCTGGCACCATCCCTACGGTGAATCATGGTGGTGGCAGCATCATGCTGTGGGGATTTCTTTCAGCGGCAGGGACTGGGAGACTAGGCAGGATCGAGGGAAAGATGAACGGAGCAAATTACAGAGAGATCCTTGATGAATACCTGCTCCAGAGCGCTCATGACCTCAGACTGGGGCGAAGGTTCACCTTCCAACAGGACAACGACCCTAAGCACACAGCTAAGACTACGCAGGAGAGGCTTCTAGACAAGTCTCTGAATGTCCTTGAGTGGTCCAGCCCGGACTTGAACCCGATCGAACATCTCTGGAGAGACCTGAAAGTAGCTGTGCAGCTACGCTCCCCATCCAACCTGACAGAGCTTGAGAGGATCTGCAGAGAAGAATTGGAGAAACTCTCTAAATACAGGTGTGCCAAGCTTGTAGCGTCATACCCAAGAAGACACAAGGCTGTAATCGCTGCCAAAGGTACTTCAACTACGTACTGACTAAACGGTCTGAATGCTTAAGTACATTTGAAATTTCAGGGGTTTTTTTTTAATTAATTTGCAAAAAATTCCAAAAACCTGTTTTTTCTTTGTCATTATGAGGTATTGTGTGTAGATTTATTAGGGGGGAAAACAATTACATCTATTTTAGAATAAGGCTGTAACGTAACAAAATGTGGAAAAAGTCCAGGGGTCTGAATAATTTCCGAATACACTGTACAGCATGTTAAAATAGAGCACAGAATAATCCTGTTCAAGGAAGAGACAAACTGAAACTAGGCCTATACTTCAACAAACACCTCACTTATTGGTTAACGTTGCATTCCTGGAACACCTCAATAGGGTTGCCACCATAGAGATCCTATCAAATTACTAGGGGACGTCATAAACCCCCAAAGTTCCAGAAGGGGTTTAAAATGGCAGCCATATTGGTCAGGGAGAAATCCAAACCAGTCTAATTGGAATGAATGGCAGTAGAGACATAATCCTGATTTTACTTAGGCAGGAAAATAAAAGTAAGGCATGCGATATATCAGAAATTGTGTAATATAATTATTGTCAAACAAAAATATTGTCATATAACTATAAATACAGTGTATACAACGTTTCTGTATAAATAGCCTCTAAAATATATGTAAACAGACCATAAATATCAACATTTTTGTTTTCTTGGAAAACCGTGAGTGATATTATATGATACAATATCAGACTTGTTGCATTTACAACTTGTCTAAGTCCTATCATCAACTGATTTCAGCCAGTGTATGGCTGTGGATTGACTGCATTGTTTGAATGGAATGTTGGCATATAGGTTGTTATCATTAAAACGTCACAAGATGCAGAGCGTTCGATTTGTCTGCCCCTTGATCCCCAGCTCCGCTAAAACCATTGACAACTGTGTGCTGTTTTCAAGGGATTGTTAAATAAATGTTAACTATTTGGTTGTAATATCATCACCTCTATGCAAAACAATTGCGCACATTTAGCTCTATCATCAGAGTTACATAGCAAGTAACTGTATGCTTTTCATGATCAGTAAACATCAATAGCTTTACGATATCTCCCAATATTGTATGAAAAATGTATGCACTCGCTAACTGTAAGTCGCGCTGGATAAGAGCGTCTGCTAAATGACTTAAATGTAAATGTAAATATTGGCCACCATTAATTGGATATTTGAGTGATATAAAATAAAATACCTGCATGGTATGGTTTAGGTTAATTTCCCATCCTTTGTGGGCTCTGCCTGTCAAGCAGCAGAAGGGCGCATTTGCCGATGTACTGTTAGCTGATAATGTTTACTTTGCAAGCTACCAGTAGAAATGTTGTACAGTTGGCTAAACATAGTGGTAAGTAGACTTAATGTACTTTTTTCTCCAACCAACGTAGGCCTACCTAGTGAAGTTAGCTATCTATCCCCTTTTCAACATTGTTTTTAAGTGTTTAATCAAGATTGCTGCTGACAGTCCTAATAGGCTACATTGATTTATGGACCATGTCAAATTGGCTAGCTAGCTAGCTAATAACAGATCACATCAATACGGCTAGTTAACAAGCTAACTTTCAGGGGATTGACTAGATGGCTATATCCAAATATTGTTTGATTTGCTTGCCATCTATAGTGGTGATGACAGAAGTGCGACTGACTTTACCAGGATGAGGACTTGCCGATATCAAGCTCTTTCCAAAAGCCTAATCTCTGATGAAGCAAGCTAAATGGCACATGTTGTTTGCTTTGCTAGCTAGCTAGCTACATGCCAAATGGATAGGCTACCCTCACATATCTGAAATTACATGATCAATTGATGTTTACTGATCATGAAAAGCATGCAGTTACTTGCTGTATAACTATGATGATAAAGCTACATGTGGAAAATAATTGGAAATGTGTAGTTCTGACTATGCTCTTCAAGAGGTGATGATGTTAAAGTAACATTTATTTAACAATCTCTTGAAAACCGCATGTAGCTAGTTGTCAATTGTTTTAGCGGAGCTGGGGGCTCCTTGCCAAATTAAAATGCTCTGCATGTATTGTGGCGTTTTATTGATAACAACCTGTTGGCAGTTCATTTGATAAATGTATGGAATCATTCCTCTAAAACTGTCTGGCTAGCTAGCTAACATACAGTGCAGATAAAATATTCAAATTCATTATTTTACATTATCTTATCACAACACTGGCCAAAATGGCTGACCTTTATCCCATCATAAGAAGGTTCATGTCCATTCTAGTATTCTAATTCCTAATTATATGGTTGCCATATGTACAGCCCTATCTATCCCTATTTTGCATTCTCTGTATAGAGTAATGGCTGGGTGTTGTCAGTACTGTAACATTACCTGCAGTGCACCACAGTGGGTCCACTGTCCTCCTGGCTCTCTATGTGCTGCCGGACCAGCCCTCTGAACTGGATCAGAGTCATTGTCCCCTCTGGGACTCCGTGGTCTGGCCAGGCCGTGAAGTGGAAGTGTTTCACAAGGCGATCCTCAGATGTGTCTCTCTGAAAGAAAGAGAAGAATTTCAACTAGTGGCAGAGGCGACATTCACACAGGTAAATTGTATTGTATTGTAAGCAGGGCACGCACTAAAAACCTTGTCTAGGGTTGTGTTCATAAGAGAGAAAATGTTTTGCAATGGATTTTAGTTTCCAAAACGATTTGCTATATGCGTGCCCTACTTAAAACGTCCCAGGTTTCATATGAGGAGATAAAGCATAGTGCTCACATTTTTCACCACAAACTCCCGCAGTGTCCAGTTGGTTTCTCTCTTCTCGGATGTGACTGTGACCAACAGGTCTCCGTACAGGCTCGGGGTGTAGTCCAGAGGCCAGTACTGCTCACATTTAGTCTAAGAGAGAGACAGCCATGGAGACTAGGCAATTTAATCAATAGAAATACAGTAAATATAATCTTATCTGTCAAATTGCCATGGTCTGAGGGGGTTTGCCCATTCTAGTTATTCTATTTATATGACTACATCACTGTTTATCTGTGATATCCCCACATTCTCCACACAAAACCACACATAATGCAAAGCACATTAAAGACACACAGGACTCACCCTCCCTCTTTCGGTGCAGTTGGTTACCATGACCACGCCCTTTACCCTTTGCTCCCAGATCATTCTCCAGAAGTCTTTGATGGTGGCGGGCAGGGGACCCTGTGCAGCGATGTACTGTCTGCTGTTACCGTAGCCCTGAAACAGAAAGCATCATGGTTAACAAAACACACCTATTGTATTTATAGTAATTTAAAATGACTCATATGGTTCACTAATCAATATATCACAGCCACAACTTGTGTAAACATTTATAGGTGTATGTAGTCCTTTTAAGGCATCATATTAATCAGCGATATCGTACTATTATTACATTATGACATTTATAATTGACATAAAGGGTTTTGTTGGGAAGTATTGAAGCCCGTTTAGCGGCAACTGCCAGTAACTACTGAACAAAACTATAAATGCAACATGTAAAGTGTTGGTCCCTTGTTTCATGAGCTGAAATAAAAGATCCAAGAAATGTTCCATACGCACAAAACACATATTTCTCTCAAATGTTGTCCTTTGCCAAGTAATCCATCCACCTGACAGGAAGGTGATTAAACAGCATGATCATTACACAGGTGCACCTTGTGCTGGGGACAATAAAAGGCCACTCTAAAATGTGCAGTTTTGTCACACAACACAATACCACAGATGTCTCAAGTTTTGAGGTAGCGTGCAATTGGCTTGCTGACTGCAGGAATGTCCACCAGAGCTGTTGCCAAAGAATTTAATGTTAATTTCTCTACCAACGTCATTTTATACAATTTAGTGTACATCCAACAGGCCTCACAACCGCAGACTAGGGCTGTGGCGGTCATGAAATTTTGTCAGCCGGTGATTGTCAAGCAAGTAGCTGCCAGTCTCATGGTAATTGACCATTAATTAACATAAACACATTTAGCATCTCCTGGCTTCCATGCATAGCCTACAAGCCAGTGATGCAGGCCTTTGGAACATCTACATTTAAAAAGTATAATACATCTATGTAATATAGCCTACATCATCACAATAAATCCATTATTTATTTTAGACAGGTCTAAAGAAACATGATATGAAGAAAATGTAGTCTATTTCAGAAGAACATAATAGCATACTCTGAGTTGTCCTTATGTTAGGCCCTGATCTGGCTATGCCATATGAGTGTGGTTTACACTAGTTCATTTAGCAGACAAGATTTGCTTAGAATTCCATTGCATTATTTTATATTATTTTATAGTATGAAGAATACAATTGAACATAGCTGAATAAAATAGAAAGGATATTTTCTCCAAACGATTTGAGGGAGTGCACACATGCGGCTATTCTGCAGTTAACAAAGAAACAGGTACAGGTTATTTATGTAACTTTAGTTGTGATACAAATGTTGGTATATATGTTTTGATTTTTAATACATTCTAAGGCTGCATGATGTGACTCTAATGATGATTTGAAAAAAGTTGCATGAAAGGCATGAGCTCTGCTTTGTTTTTTGCACAGGCTGTACACACTTCATCAGTCTCTCAGTCTCTCATTCACAATTTGAGAAGCACTTGATAATGCGGTCAGTGGCCGTTGTGCCCTTCGGCTGAATATAATAATTATAATTCCCTTCTCCCGGCTGCGTGCCGAAGCACCTCTCACTCACATGGCTCTCAGTAACCATGATCGGGTCTTTCTCACAGGCTACAAGTGAAGACAGACACATCAGGGACGCAACTGCGCGCGTCCTTATCCAATTCCGAGGCACATATTGAAGATATTACAAGAGCTGTCCACATTTACTTTTCGGCAGCCAACAAGATGAATAGGCCTAACGAACAGCAAAAGCACTAGCCTATGTCAATCTACTATCCCCGTAGTACAAAAGTTGACCTATTCTATTCCGTGTGAGAAATAAATATTCCAAACATAGTCTGGGACAGTTGTGGGATGCGATAGATCCCAAATTAATAAAACCACTAGCATCAAAAAGCCTGTTTTAAGCAATGAGCCTGACTCAACAGATGAGAACATTTAGCTTAAAATGTTGATAAATATTAGTCTATTTCTTAACATTATAAGCTCAGCAATGCGCACACGGCAGTAGGCTATAAGCGTGAATGTTCCATTAGAAAACACCATTCTCAAAAGTGACCGTAAATGCGATTATTCATGTAATGCTTTTATTATAAAGGTGCATTTTTATGGTGACAATTATCTTCCCCAAACTTGAAACTCATGCGCTGCATATGTGTGCCAGTTAGACTACACCAATTGTAAAGCGGATTAATGTGCTTCATTTTAAGAAGTTATTTGGCCACTTTAGTTGTGCTACAAACCTTATCAAAACATATAGGCCTATGGGCTAGGCTACATGAGGTGTGCGACTATGATTTGAAAAAGTCACTCACAAAAAGCATGCGCTGTTTGCCTTAAGCTGGGCATCATCAAGTGATAATATATCAGTTACAAGTGATAGGCTAATATTGTCACCCATCACACTATTCTTGATTTAATCTTGTCTTTACATATACTAAATAATATGTGTGAAATTTGTTTTGATTTAGAATGGACCATTATCATGCACCTGTCTCGAAACGGGCAGTTGAAAAAAATACGTAATCTATGCACTTAAATAGCGAACGGAGGATGCTTTTCTCGTGGTTCATTTGAATGCCAGCCAGGTAGGCTATACTCCTGTTTTAAAGAGAAGCAATGTGCTTAATATTAGGAAAGTTAAGAAATAAATATAGTAGCCCTAGCTTATAGAAACCTGATGGGATCCTCCTGTTTTTAATAGAGGCCATCCCTCTGTTTTCTCATGCAATTGCATAGCCTATAGAAATGTTGCACAACATGAGCTCATGGGCTCTCATGAAGTGTTTGTTTATATTTTCCATCACATTTGCATTGATGTCGGAGTGATTAGCGGGACAATAGAGTGCTGAGTATCAGGCAAGTTTGGTAGGCTACTAAGGACCATCAGCAGCATCAGAGCTTGGAGAAGCCTAATTACTGTGACTAAACGGTCATGTGGAATTTGACTGCCATTATGACCGCCGCTGTGGCGGTAATACGGTCACCGTATTACCGCAGACCACGTGTAACCACGCCAGCCCAGGATCTCCACATCCGGCTCCTTCACCTGCGGGATCGTCTGAGACCAGCCACCCAGACTGCTGATGAAACAGAGGAGTATTTATGTCTGCAATAAAGCCTTTTTGGGGAATAACTCAGCTCTCATCTGAAAGCTCTCATCAAGGCAAAGGGTAGCTACTTTGAAGAATCTCAAATATAAAATATATTTTGATTTGTTTAACACTTTTTTGGTTACTACATGATTCCATATGTGTTATTTCATAGTTTTGATGTCTTCACTATTATTCTACAATGTAGAAAATAGTAAAAATAAAGAAAAAGCCTTGAATGAGTAGGTGTGTCCAAACTTTTGACTGGTAGTGTATAAATATATATATATATCTATATATATATATATATACATATTTCGATTGGCTGGGCCTTGCTGGATCTCCCATGTGGGTGGGCCTATGCCCTTCCAGGCCCACCCATGGCTGCGCCCCTGCCCAGTCATGTGAAAATCCATAAATTAGGGCCTAATTTATTTATTTCAATTGACTGATTTCCTTATATGAACTGTAACTCACTAAAATCGTTGAAATTGTTGCATTTTGCATTTATGTTTTTGTTCAGTATATTATAATATTATTACAATTGTACCTTTGGTGTTACGCAATGTTTATTTGTTTACCATGGGGGGGGGGGGGGGGGGGGGGGGAGGCTTACTTTTCCATAAGTAAGCCTTTTAAAGTAGGCTATCAAGGTTTATGTCAGTATAGTAGATCAGTCTAGTACTTTTTAGAGGTGCAGTCACAGTAGGAATACCTGTGTAGGATCTCTAGGATTGATATGGACAGTGATCTGTATAAGGAAATCTGAGACTTACATGCTGCTGTACTTACTGGCATGTAATTCGCATTTATGTAGTCAGAGCTCATGTCGTGGTTTATCGTGGTTAGCTTCACCCGACACCAGTCATCTGGAGAGAGAGAGAGAAGATTTAAAATGACTAATGAGTTTTGTCCCATCAAACTTTACTTTGGAGAATATAACCCACAAAACCTCAAACTGTATAAAATCTGCAGGTGGGGTGTTTAGGCCAACGCCATCAGATTCCAGACATAGTTATCTGATCCACCCTATTATACTTGGTCAATTGGCTGACACAAAGTTCAACTGTTGCAAAGAATTCCACAACTGTATGTTGTTCATATGATGTGTAGAAATAGCAGCCAGAGTACACTTACATGGCAGTACATTGGTGAAGCGGTTCTTGTTCTTGTTCTCCTCCAGAAGGGCTGCTCTTTGAGTCTGCTCTGTGCCAACAGGGATGAAGTCCTGCATACAGATATAAAGCATAGATTGAGCATATTGTATAGAAAAACGAATTAATGTTAACATACTCCAATTAGTCGTCTGAAGGCTTATGCACAGACACACAGATGGATTACAAGATGACAAAACAGGCCTATACATCCATTCTGATACTGTAATCACACTCACAGGGAAAACAACATTGGACAATCGTCCAGCTACTTTGCATTACCAACTGTTATATAGGCTATTACAGTTGTACAACTTGCACCTCCAGACTTACCGTAGTTGTGCCGCCGAGCATCATGGGAGTTATGTGTGTTGAAATGAGCACGTTCATATACATGGTTAAACTGAATTCCTGTCTCTCATATCATCATTATTGAATTGTTGTGAAGATGTGGTTATGAAACACACGAGACATAACACCAACACCAGGATAAAACAAACAGAAGAGCAAGCATGGTTTCCTCATTGCTACCTGATACTCCTCACTGAATTGTCTGTTGGTGTCAGCGCTCATTCTGTAGTAGTGGTCTGAAAACTTCCACACTGGAATCGCTCTGGAGAAAATAGAAAATACACTTAAAGGTATGTTCTGAGTTGATATTTCATTTGTTACGGTAATAGACATGTGATAATGTCTAACGCATGCTTAATTGGCCTTAAAATACACTCTTAGAAAAAAAGGTACAACCCTTTTGGGTTCCACAAAGAACCCGTTCCATTCCGATTGGAAGTGATGCAGACAATTACATTGATGGAAGTTACAATCTTTCTGCAATATTAAAGCTGATCTACCTCATTTTTTTTTTCATATTTTTTTTTTTACCGTTCCACAGACGGTTCTACTTGGAACCCAAAAGGGTTCTACCTGAAACCAAAAAGGGTTCTACATGGAACAAAAAGGGGTTCTCCAATGGGGACAGCCGAATAACCCTTTTGGAACCCTTTTTTTCTAGTGTACATAGACTAGTTGCTATTTGGATACCCTTAAATCTAGCCTATATAGATATTTTGTCTTAACTTTTAAGATAAAAGTAAATGGTTGAGTTTAAAGGGGCAATCTGCAGCTGCTACATCCATATTTGGACTTAATGATATATACTCATTGATTCTTGAAGAATATTAATGCCTCATCAGCTAAATTCAACTGTCGTACCACATCAGAACCCAACATAAGCATTTTTTTACTGTAGCTCAGTCGGTAGAGCATTGTGCTTACAACGCCAGGATAGTGGGTTTGATTCCCGGGACAACCGCTACTTGAAATGTATGAACACATGACTGTAAATCGCTTTGGATAAAAGTGTCTGCTAAATGGCATATGAATATATTGTATATTATATACAGTGCATTCGGGAAGTATTCAGACCCCTTGACTTTTTCCACATTTTGTTACGTTACAGCCTTATTCTGAAATTGATTAAATTATTAATTTTTCTCATCAATCTACACACAATACTCCATAATGACAAAGCGAAAACAGGTTTTTAGAAATGTTTGCAAATGTATAAAATAAAAAAAACTGAAATACCTTAGCCACTCCACAGTAAAAGGCACGACAGCCCGCATGGAGTATGTCAAAAGGCACCTAAAGGACTCTCAGACCATGAGAAACAAGATTCTCTGGTCTGATGAAACCAAGATTGAACTCTTTGGCCTGAATGCCAAGTGTGACATCTGGAGGAAACCTGGCACCATCCCTACGGCGAAGAATGGTGGCAGCATCATGCTGTGGGGATGTTTTTCAGCGGCAAGGACTGGGAGACTAGTCAGGATCAAGAGAAAGATGAATGGAGCAAAGAGATCCTTGATGAAAACTTGCTCCAGTGCACTCAGGACCTCAGACCAACAGGACAACAACCCTAAGCACACAGCCAAGACAACGCAGCAGTGCCTTCGGGAACAGTCTCTGAATGTCCTTGAGCGACGCTCCCCATCCAACCTGACAGAGCTTGACAGGATCTGCAGAGAAGAATGGGAGAAACTCCCCAAATACAAGTGTGCCAAGCTTGTAGTGTCATACCCAAGAAGACTCGAGGCTGTAATCGCTGCCAAAGGTGCTTCAACAAAGTACTGAGTAAAGGGTCTGAATACTTATGTAAATGTGATTTTACAGTTTTTTATTTTTTATACATTTGTTTTTGCTTTGTCATTATGGGGTATTGGGTGTAGATTGATGAGGGGGAAAAACTATTTAATCCATTTTAGAATAAAGCTGTAATGTAACAAAATGTGGAAAAAGTCAAGGGGTGTGAATACTTTTCGAATGCACTGTATAAACACTGGATAGCCTCAAAACATAATGCGTATACCATGGATGGTCAGTCCTTGCATCCATCGCTCTGTCTATGAATGTGAGAGTGGTTACATTTCTCCAGCGCCATCCCTCGGCTTTTTACCAAAAAAGTGGTGGGGTGTCGCTTTGTTATTGTTGGAACTGTGGATTGCCCCTTTAAGGCTAAGTCTGACTCTTAAATACTGTAAATAAACTGTATATATACTTGAATTTTTCGCCGGCTAGTTTGGATTCCACAAACAACGAGTTGAGCCGGCTATGGGAAAAGGAAAAAGAAAGACATTGATTATTGATTCCAAATGGTTTCCATATCTAAGATCATTAAAGGTAGCAGCACCAACCTGAACATTTCTGGCTTCCAACGCCAAATGAAGAAACCCAGACAAACCAGGAGGCAGAGTACCAGCACAACCATGACTGACCATGCAATGACCCCTACAGAGAAGAAACCTGGGCTTAGCATGAGCGCATAGAGCATGACATATTAATAACTAGGTTATAGGCCTACTTATAAACATCACATAAGAGTGATCATCATAATAGAGACAATGGGCTGTTCTTCCAAGGATACTAAGCAACATAAGTCTACTGACAATCACGCATGTAGTATCAACAGATAATGTAAAACAGTATCTACTGCCAGATCCCGCATAGGGGGAGAGACGCGGAAGCCCAGGTAGCCTAGCTGGCTCGGCAGTCTCAAATGGAGGTCGCTATTGAACGTTTCCAGCGGCGCTGCAGGAGCTGTGTTTACTTTGCTTTATTCCGGGACAATGTGGACTGCGCTGAATTTCAATGTAGCAACTGCTTGCTTGCGGAGGACTACAGGGTTGAAGTGGCTACTCTTAGCATGCAAGTAGCAAACCTACACAAGCTACTGGGGAATCCACGCCTGCCTACATTTTCTTTTTCTTCCACCCCAGTAGCCGGACACCGCTCTGGTCTGGTGGAAGTGTCGCCGCTGTGTCGGCACTCCACAGCCGACTGGCCGGTGCTCAGCAGGGACCCATCCCCGAAGGGGTCTCCCCCTTCCCTGGAGAACGGAGCTGTTCTTGATCCAACCAACCAGCCATGGAGATACGTCACTCGCTGTGGAAAATCGAAAAAGGCATCCTCTGGCAACTTGGTCTCCTTCGAGATGTTAAGCCCGGACCTGACACAGACCAGAAACGGCTTTGCCGCCCTGGATCCAGAGGTTGCGGTGCCTTCTTCCTTAGGGGCTTCCCATTCAAGATCGGATCCGGAGGTACCTGCGTCTTCGTCCTCTGTTCTGTCTCCCTCTCTGGTGGCTTCTAACTCAGGTTCAGCTCCTCAGAGCCCCCCCATCAGACAATGAGGCTGCCTGAGAGACCGGCCCATTCAACATCACCAGCTGTCATCATCGGCAGCTCTATGGTGAGAAACAACTCAGTTCCCAATGCAAAAACCCTGTGCTACACAGGAGCACGAGTACAGGACATCACAAGGCTGCTTCCGACTGTTCTACGACAGATACCGGGAGCTGACTCTGTCATAGTCCATGTAAGGTCAAACAAAATCAGGAAAGCTAGCTCGGAACATCTGAAAATTGATTATAAAGAACTGATTTTAGCATTAACCTCTACGGGATCGGTGTCCCTTATACAGGACGGTTGCTGCTCAATATGCGATATGTGACTAGAATGGTGTTGTAAACAACAGACAACTTTCCGGGACATAGACATGTCTTATACAGTGAGGGAAAAAAGTATTTGATCCCCTGCTGATTTTGTACGTTTGCCCACTGACAAAGAAATGATCAGTCTATAATTTTAATGGTAGGTTTATTTGAACAGTGAGAGACAGAATAACAACAAAAAAATCATAAAATGTCAAAAATGTTATAAATTGATTTGCATTTTAATGAGGGAAATACGTTTTTGACCCCCTCTCAATCAGAAAGATTTCTGGCTCCCAGGTGTCCTTTATACAGGTAACAAGCTGAGATTAGGAGCACACTCATAAAGGGAGTGCTCCTAATCTCAGCTTGTTACCTGTATAAAAGACACCTCTCCACAGAAGCAATCAATCAATCAGATTCCAAACTCTCCACCATGGCCAAGACCAAAGAGCTCTCCAAGGATGTCAAGGACAAGATTGTAGACCTACACAAGGCTGGAATGGGCTACAAGACCATCGCCAAGCAGCTTGGTGAGAAGGTGACAACAGTTGGTGCGATTATTCGCAAATGGAAGAAACACAAAAGAACTGTCAATCTCCCTCGGCCTGGGGCTCCATGCAAGATCTCACCTCGTGGAGTTGCAATGAACATGAGAACGGTGAGGAATCAGCCCAGAACTACATGGGAGGATCATGTCAATGATCTCAAGGCAGCTGGGACCATAGAAAGCCAAGAAAACAATTGGTAACACATTACGCCGTGAAGGACTGAAATCCTGCAGCGCCCGCAAGGTCCCCTGCTCAAGAAAGCACATATACAGGCCCTTCTGAAGTTTGCCAATGAACATCTGAATGATTCAGAGGAGAACTGGGTGAAAGTGTTGTGGTCAGATGAGACCAAAATCGAGCTCTTTGGCATCAACTCAACTCTCCGTGTTTGGAGGAGGAGGAATGCTGTCTATGACCCCAAGAACACCATCCCCACCGTCAAACATGGAGGTGGAAACATTATGCTTTGGGGGTGTTATTCTGCTAAGGGGACAGGACATCTTCACCGCACCAAAGGGACGATGGACGGGGCCATGTACCGTCAAATCTTGGGTGAGAACCTCCTTCCCTCAGCCAGGGCATTGAAAATGGGTCGTGGATGGGTATTCCAGCATGACAATGACCCAAAACACATGGCCAAGGCAACAAAGGAGTGGCTCAAGAAGAAGCACATTAAGGTCCTGGAGTGGCCTAGCCAGTCTCCAGACCTTAATCCCATAGGAAATCTGTGGAGGGAGCTGAAGGTTCGAGTTGCCAAACGTCAGGCTCGAAACCTTAATGACTTGGAGAAGATCTGCAAAGAGGAGTGGGACAAAATCCCTCCTGAGATGTGTGCAAAACTGGTGCCCAACTACAAGAAACGTCTGACCTCTGTGATTGCCAACAAGGGTTTTTCTACCAAGTACTAAGTAATGTTTTGCAGAGGGGTCAAATACATATTTCCCTCATTAAAATGCAAATCAATTCATAACATTTTTGACATGCGTTTTTCTGGAGTTATTCTGTCTCTCACTGTTCAAATAAACCTACCATTAAAATGATAGACTGATCATGTCTTTGTCAGTGGGCAAACGT